TTTTTTTTTTTTTTTTTTCTGGTCTCACTGTACTGACAATGCCAGCCAGCAGGGTTCTCTGTGTAATTTAGGATCCCAACGGCCCTAATGCTCTGCTCTCCATATTAAACAAAAACACATACTAAAGAGCCAAACTAAACAGAAGAAGGAAGATACTCACCAGCCCTAGGAAAGAATTAGCCATTGGCTTTGGGGACTAAACACTGACTAAGTAAAAGATTATTTGCTTTCCCAATCCCTCACTGACACTTGCCTTTATCGCAAAAGTTAAGCAACACTGAGCTGAGATGTTCTGTCTATAGGACCATCAGCAGCTTCAACAGTGAAAGTGGCAAAAGGCAAGGAACTGTCTCCAGCACTGGTCCCATGGAGAGACCAGAACAAGAGGGGCCAAATCCCCAACTAGAGGAAGGTTGAGCTGAACAGAGCTTACTCAGTTCAAATGGATATTTGCCCTTCACTTTCTGCCATAACAAATATCCATTTTGATCACCTCCCTCCCACAAACCAACTATGTAACTTTCATGATTCTGGTGGCATCTCCCCCCGAACTCCCCACCAAAACATGACTACCATCTCCAAAGCTATGAGTCACAGACAATGGTCTCCATTCTCAGGTTCCAAATTCTCAAGCTGTCCCCTTATTCCCTTGGGAAATTTGGTGACTTCAGTCCTTGACGAGCCACTGGAAGAATATCACCCTTAAGATTTATGTGAGCTAATCTCAAAGAGCCAACTTTAAAAGGCAGAAGTCAGCGGGGCACCTTGGTGGTTCAGTTAAGCATCAACTTTTGTTCAGACCATGATCTCGTAGTTTGTGAGTTCGAGTCCCGAGTCGGGCTCTCTGCTGAAAGCTCAGAGCCTGGAGCCTGCTTTAGATTCTGTGTCTCCCTCCCTCTCTGCCCCTCCTCAACTCTCTCTCTTGAAAATAAATAAATATTTAAACAAAAAAAAATATTTTTAAGGCAGAAGTCAGGGATCAAGGCTTCCACCCTGCCCCACAGAAGCTTAAAATATGCTACATGGATTGGGGGGAGGGGTGCCTGGCTGGCTTAGTTGAATGATGACTCTTGATTTTGGCCTAGGTCATGATCCTAAGGGTCATGGGACTGAGACCTGCAACGTGCTCTGCGCGGAGCATGGAGCCTGCTTGAGATTTTCTCTCTCCCACTCTGCCCCTCTCCCCTGCTGGCGCTCTCTCTTAAAAATAAAAAATAAAAAAAGCTACGTGGGCTCCTTCCTCTAATCCCTGTAAACTTAGCCTCTTGGTGACAAAAGTCTTTTGTAGCTTAAAAAACCAAGGGACTTTTATGTCTTTGTAGATATAAAATGTGGTTGAAGACAATTCAGAGAGTGTTTAACTGATACAACCAGAAAAGTGACTATCATGGTAGAAGGCAAAGGTAATTAACAGAAATCTAAGTTCAGAGACTAATTATCAGTAATAATAGACTTTGTGGCCATGCTTCCTGTTAAGTGACAAAACAAACATGACATTTTGCTACATTTATCCTACTTAAAACAAACAAGACCCTATACAAAAAAGACAAGATAGTACATGTCCCTAGAGAAGAAATATGGAACAGCATCCTGAGAAAGCCAGTCAGTTCCATTATCAACAGGGGTTTGGCCTACCCTAATCATGTTTTAAGAACACAAGATATTGGGGAAGGGGTAGGGAGAACGCCTGGGTGGCTCAGTTGGTTAAGCGTCTGACTCCTGGTTTTGGCTCAGGTCATGATCTCAGTTTATGGGGCCGAACCCCGTGTTGGGAGAACAGAGCCTGCTTGGGATTCTCTCCTTTTCCCTCTCCCCTACTCACTCTCTCTAACAAACTTAAAAAAAAAACACAAAAAACACCACAAAACATATTGGTTTCATGCTAATAAAGGCCAGATGCTTATTAGTGAGTCAGATTTCTGACCCCAATGTCCCCGGAAAAAGATCTGCTATAGAAGTGAAAACCACAATGGCAGAGTAGGAGCTGACTCCAAAATCTATGTGCGCCTTCCTCCTGAGCACATGTGTACCCACTTCCCTTGCAGCTAGTGGCCACCTCACCCTCACAAACCACCACCCCTCACCATAGCCTGAAACATGGATGCTACATTAAGTCAGCTTCACCACGCAGGTGAAGACAACAATGTAAATGGTGGGTTAATAAAGAACCTGGATCCCTGACTGACCTTGGGGAGCAGAGCTGTCCAGCTAGGCTAGGCTGGCCATACTGACGGGGGAGAAGCACAAGTCTTTTTATGTAAGCAAGCCACAGGGAGCTTTTAACCTTGGCCTGAACTGTACTCTAACTCACACAACTAATAGTCACAGGAATCCATCTTAGGCTTGGGGGTTCATATGTCTGCTCCCATTTGTCTTCTCATTGCCTTAAAGAAAACAAACATACTTACTCCACTGCTTTCTTGTAGATTTCAATGGCCTTGTCCAAGTCTCCCTCCAGCAGGTGGATCTTCCCCAGCATTATGTAAGTCAAATCATGCCTGTTAAGATGTAGGGCATTGTGCAGCTGCTCTTGCGCCTAACACGATTGATGGAGTAAAGAGAACCAAATCACTACAGGAAAGGACAATGTCTTCGTATGGCTAACATAAAGACAGAGCTCCCCCTTTCTAACGCAGACACATCACATCTCAGCAAACAGCCCCCACTACCCAAAAAACTAAAACATACCAAAACTGCTTGCTGACAGGACAGCTGGCAACATGAGATGTCTGCCTCTGGAGCCACTTGGGAGAGTTTATACAAGATGATTAACCTTTTTGAGTGTTTTCTCCATCTTGGTATTCATACCCATGACTCATGCCTTCATAAGTCAAAGGGATGTCTTAGTACAGAAGACAGCACTGCCCTGAACTCAGTCCCAGCTGCACCACTGACCAATTGCATTACCTTCCCCAGGGTGGACTGCATTTTCCTCACCAATATTTTGATAAATGAATGAATGGACTGTTCTCATTTATTCACTCAACATGTATCCACTAAGTATCTATTGTTCTAAGTACTAGGGATACCGGAGCTAACAAAACAAACCCCTTGCTCTGGAAGAGTTTATATCCTAACAGATATAAAGGGCTTCATTTAAGACATTCATTGATTCAACAAGTATTTACAGAAATGTCAAGTATTATATTTGCTCTGTTAGCTTTATAGTAAAATCTAAATATAATTCTCCTTCTCCTAAGTACAGGTCTGACCCAAGAACAATCCTATCTCTCCCTTGGCTCAGAATAATCTGATGAATAGAAATGTACTTGCTTGGAATATTCTCTGAGGAGAAAACTCTCCTAAACAAGCATATAAAACTGTAGCTCTGCCCAGGAAACCTGAAGAAACCCACTAAATATAAAAGTTCTCACACGGAAAATAACATTAAAAACAGAAACTCAAAAATCAGATCCACTTAAAACTAAAATTCATTTCCAATGACCTCAAAAACTAAAATCAGTTGCTGTCAGAGCATAAGACTTTTAACACTTTTAACACTTCCAGACTTAAAGGTTCACTTTTTGATATCTAAATTTTATTGAACATTTGTTTCTATACTAGTAAATTAAACTGGGGTGGAGAAGAAGAGAGAAAAGCAATTAGATTGCCATTCCCTCGTAACAGTTCTAGAGTTTGTCATTTTGTTGCTAAAATATGGGGGGGAAAACAGATGGATGAAAAATAAGAATAAATATGGGGATAAGTGTACATGGCACTTTGGATTTTTACTTCTCCAAACCTCTACAAGCACTTCCTAGAAATAATACAAAACCCTCAGCGAACCCTCAGTGAAGCCCCCAGCCGAGAACTCAACCACCACCACCATTTCCATCAATTACCTTTTTGAACTGTTTCAGATAAATGTAGCAAACTCCTAGGTTATGACAGATCTCCTACACATGAAAGAAAGTAAAATAGCATAGGTGTAAATTCCACAGTTACCAGCAGAATGAAACATCAGGCATCTGGGGATTGTACTGTTCAGCAAAACTTACATTTTAAATGACACAACAGGTATTTCATACCTAAATACATTTAAAAACCATTTTTTATGTTTATGAGAAAGAGAGTGTGTGCATGAGCAGGGGAGGGGCAGAGACAGGGAGAGAGAGAATCTCAAGCAGGCTCCATGCTGTCAGCACAGAGCCTGACATGGGGCTCAATCTCAAAAACCTTGAGATCATGACCTGAGCTGAAATCTAGAGTCAGACACTTAACCGACTGAGCCACCCAGGCATCCCCATACTTAAATACACTTAAATACACAAAATGGACTCTTTAAAAACTCAGATTATAGGAGATAAAAGCAGAATAAACAGGTGATCTTCCTGGGTGTTTGACATACATACATACCCAGGCCACTCACCCCAAGCTTTCCTTCTCAGAGGAGACTTGCCACAGCCCCTGCTCCACCCGAAGGAAATTTGTGTGTATGTATACATAAATAAATATATGTGTGTGTCAGAGTCCCTTTCCTCGTAATCCAGAATTGGCTACATGATGTGGACTTGAGGACCAACAGCACCATCTGGAGGCCACTAAGACGGAATATATGTAATTGGAGCCTGACAGCTGTAGTCTACAAACCCTGGCCCACAGACCAAATGCATCCTCTGCCTTTTCTTGTAAATAAAGTTTGATTAGAACACAGCCACAATCACTTGTTACACATTGTCTACAGAACTTTCACACTAGAACTTCAGAGTTAAGTAGTTCAAAAGAGACTATATGAAGCCACAAAGCTTAAAATATTCACTAGGCCTTTTACAGAAACAGTCTGCCAACTGCTGATCTACAGAAAGAGAAAATGAAGCAGAAATGCAGAGGAGCCACCTTGGTCACTAAAAGTTTTCCAGTTCTAGTTCACTGTAAGACAAGCCTGTGGTTCCCTGACCTTGAGTTTCATAAAATCGCTGAAGTTCCCTTATGCTGAATCCCCCTTTATTTACAGTAGCTTGAGAGAAAGGAGAAAGCAAAGGTGAGGACCTTCCTGTTAGTAGTGGAGAGATGCGGAAGCACATCCAGGCCCAGAAGCATCCCTGTCTGAAGAACCATGGACCCCAGAGCTCAGAGACAAATGGTTTAATAGGTTCCAAGTCTCTTAAAATAACAACAAGATAGGGAAAACTGATTGAGTACCTACTTCACATCAGGCTCTATGCCAGATGGTTTTCATATATGCATTACTATAATTTTCCCAGCAAATCTGAAATACAGGTGTAACGATTCTGATTTGAGAGATAAGAAAACTGAAGCTCAGAGAGGTTAAATAGTTTGCCTAACTTAAGCCAGGAGGTGTCAGCACTAGGATTTTTCTTTCTTTTTTTAGGTCTCTCTCTCAAAAATAAAATAAAACATTAAAAAAAATTAAAAAAAAAAACCAAAACATAGAATCACCATGGACTCCTCATTCTGTCCCAACAACCATCCAACCCATTCTCCCATCTACCCCACTAGTTTATAAAATATCAGATAGCATAACATTTCATCTACAACCTTTCAGTATGTATTTTTTTTCTTTTTATTTATTTTGAGAGAGAGAAAGCGAGCGAGCAAGCAGGGAAGGGGCAGAGAGGAAGAGAGAGGGAGAAACAGAATTCCAAGCAGGCTCTGCACTATCAGCACAGAGCCTGACACAGGGCTCGAACTCATGAACTGTGAGATCATGACCTGTGCTGAAACCAAGAGTCAGATGCTTAACTGACGGAGCCACCTAGGAGCCCCTCAATATGTATCTCTAAAGGATAAGGTTGGTTGTTTTTTTTTTTTTTTTTACTACCCACAATACCACTATCATACTTGGAAAATAATAACTGCTCATATCAGATACTGATTTATGTTTAATAAACATAAAACCCATAAAGGTCTCACAAGCACACAATTTTTTCCCTTAAATCACAATCCAAATAACGTCCACACACGGCAAAGCACTGGGACCCGAACTCAGGCTTGCCTACAAAACTTGCGTACTTTCCCCTTTATCATGTAACAATGTACACACAGAGCTAGAAAAAGAAGAAATGCATCTGTGCTTGTCTTTTAAATGTCCTGAAAGCTAACTAACCCCCAACTCTTTAAAATAATTTTCAGGGTGCCTGGGTGCTCAGTTGGTTAAGCATCTGACTCTTGATTTTGGCTCAGATCATTATCTTGTGGTTCAAGAGTTCGAGCCCCCCACGGGGGCTGTACAGAGCCTGCTGGGATTCTTTCTCTCCCTCTCTCTCTCTGCCCCTCCCATGTTCTCTCTCAAAATAAGTAAAATGAACTTAAACGAAAGTAGAAAATCATTTGCCATAGATATTACTTGAGAAGGCAGCAGCAAAAGGCCTTAAACTGACAACAAAGGAAATTTGAGAAGGAAAACAGAACAAATAAGAGTTAAATCATGTGTTTCACAGAATGAGGGAATCCAGCAGACATCCTGCAAAAGGCAGCTGGTACAGTGGAAAAATGATAGGCCTAAAGCGAGGAATCTCAGAGTCCAGGCCTGAATTCTAGCTCTGGTTCTGCCACCACCTCACTGTGCCCCCTTGAACAAGTCACTCCATCTAGCCAAAGCCTCAGCTTCTCACCTCCCTCAGCCCAATTGGGTAAATTCTCCCTACTTAACAAAGCTGTTCCAGAAGTCAAAGGAGGTAACAGCAGGGGGAACTATTATCCCCCAGTTGCAGCTGGACTGTGGTATAAAGTAAGGCCACAGGAACTCACATAGCAAGTAGGACACAGAGGAGCAGCTCGGGGCATGACTACCTCTCCTGGTGCCAATGGAATGGTCATCCCAAGTGGGCAGTAATACCAAATGAGCTCTTTCAACCAACTGGAAGGATTAGCAGATACTCTCCATTCCTCCTGTGTGACTCTGAGCTCTCGTTTCACTTCGTCCCGATCTTCCTCTATCGGTTCTATTCCTCTTCAGCTCAGCCCTTCAACACTTTTCCCTGGGTTCCGCCCTCAGCTCTCCGAAGAGTGATCTCATCCAATTTCATGCTTGTAGTTATTACCTTTATACTCTTGACTCCAAAATGTACATCTCTAGCCCAGAACACTGGAGCTTCAGACTTCTATATCCAGCCATGCACTGGACATGTCTCCATTTAGATGCCCTACCGGAAGCAAAAACTCATCAAGTCTACAATGTTAAAGACAGGATTTAGCTCTGTTTGCTTATCATCCTCCTCTCTTCCTTCCTGTATTTCCTATTCTAGCTGATTGTTCCATAACCCACCAATCCACCTTTGCGTCTCTGAGACCCAGCCCAGTGCCTGGCACGTAGCAAACATTCGTGTGTTGAAAGAATGACTAAATGAAGGAGTAAATGAATTATCCTTCATCTGCAGCTTCACTTTGGCCTTTAGCTATAAAATACTTGGTGGCATTTGTCTTCAGACCTATGGAAGTGACCAAGAAACTGGAATTTTTTGAAAATAATGGTGCCATAAGAACTGCAGAGGAAATCTATGCTAAGCCTCCGTACGAATCAATCTAATCCTTCACACATCCATATTTCTTTCCAAGAATCATCACTATTGGGGAAAAAACCAACAGCACAAGAAAGAAGAACCAAAATAAAGAGAGGAAGCAAAAGGTAATTCTGGAAAGCAGAACAAAACTTCAAGAGTCAGAGACATGGAGAGGCTATTGCAAGAAGACAAAAGACAAAGTTCTTAGAAATTAAAAATATAATTACTGACATAAAAAATAACTGAATGGATAAGATAATAACAGAATGTGAATAGCTAACAACAAAAATGATCTGGAGAATAGGATTCAGGAAATGTCCCTGAATGTACAGCAAAATGACAAAAAGCGGGACTATGTGAGAGGCAAGTGAAGAGACACAGAGAACAAGTACAGAACACCTTTAATACAGTGGAAAACAGTGTGGCAGATGCCACTCGTTAATACCCACTCTCCTCATTTTCGTTACTAACAGACCCTAATTTTGTTCAGAGTGTCAATGTGTCCAACGAAAAAACTACATTTCCCAGTCTTCCTTAAAAGGGGGATAGTTGATATGACACAAGTGGCAGTCTTTTGGGGATTTTTGGGAAAGCTGTGCTTTCCTAATACAGGCTATATCTTTTTCTCTTCGTTGCTTGTTTTTTCTCTCTGCCTGGAATGATGATGTGATGTTGGAGCTGCAGTAGACGTCTTATGACCATGAAGAAAAAACCTCAGCTTTGACGTCCTTGGACCACCCAGTCAATGTTGGCAACTACTTACCTGGTATATGTTTCATGACAAAAAATAAACCCCTAATTCGCAAAGCCAATGTTCAATCAAAATTTCTGTTGCAGTTACAATCCCTAACAAAGAGACAATGGAGGAGAAGAAAATCAAAGAACTACTCAAAGAAAATGTCCCTGACCCAAAACAGGGCAAGGATCTTCAGAGTGAAAGCCAACTTAGTGTCCACAGATGGGGATGGGGGTGGGGGGGGGGAGTAACACTTTTACACAGTATTATTGATATTTCAGAACTCCAATGATAAAGAGAAAATCCTCGAAGCTTCTAGAGAGGAAAGTGGAGTTAATCAACAAGTAGCAGACTGGTAACAGACTGCCAGAAAACCATGCAGCAATGTCTGCTAAGTTATGAGGAAACATGGTTTGGTTTTTGATCTTATACTTAGCTAAATCATCAATCAAGTGTGAGGATAAAATAAAGACATTTGGGGCATGTAGGAATTCAGTAACAGTAACAAGACAGCCATATGACAAATGGAACCATCAGCAGGTCACTAATAACAAAGAACTTTAAAGTACTCTACTTACCCAATCTGTCTGGTTAAGTTTAGCTGCTTCATTATATACTTCAATGGCAGCTTTATGTTTTCCCAAAAGAAATCTATGGGAGAAATACATTTTCTGTAATTGTTAACTAAAAGTTTTACAGGACTAACTCCACTAGTCCCCCATTTGACTCACATTCTATCCAGCAGAGAAATCTGGAAGCCCCTGCCTTATTAGCTGGCTGTGCTGTTTTGGCCGGTGAGGCTGGTCTCTATCAGTCACAGAAGCTCTTTTGGTAGGGACTGCACTGATAGCTATTCCAGGGTCTTGGCCTCATTCTACACCACTTTTAGTGAAAGTCTTCTGTAATTTATTTTCCACAATGTACCACACATGTAGAACAAAGAAGAAACAAACTGGTATATATACCAGTTAAACAGGAGCTGCCATCATTTATTATCACCGTCTATTATAGGGACATGCCCTTCCCTTCCAAGACTAAATCTCTTTCCTCAACCTTGATTCTGGAGGGAGGCAAAGGCAAACCGGGCTCTATACAAAGGAAGTGCAAGTATGAATGACAAGGTAGGTAAGAAAGTGGGGGTAGAAACCCCATGGGACACTTTACAGCTCCAGAGTAGAAAAATAGTGTACCCATCAGCTTAGAAAGACTTTGGAGGTTGCTTGCATGGAGGCACCATTAGGGCATTCACTCAACAAACACTTACTGAAACTTACTATGTCAAGTATTATACCAAGTGTTGGAACAGTACATGAAAAACATTCCATGGGTTGCCAGTAAGATTAGGGGACTGAGGGCACAAGATGTCCCTATTTATATGATAAACAGTATCAGTGTTCCCCCCATCAAACTAGACTATACAATGTTTAAAATACTCAACTCCTTTATACTTGTTGACTTATTTTCTCAAGTTTCAAAATTAATCCACTCTTCAAAGGGGATCCCCATATATCTACTAAGCCACTCTCCCTCTACGTATCAGGTTGATCAGGCTGTCAGAAGCAGGCTCGGCCTGAGAATGCATTTTACATCATTCTCTGTGAGTGCCCAGGACTTCTGAGGCAACAAATACTCACAAAGATCTGGCCACCTGCTTGAGGTTATCAGCACACTGAGGGCTGAGAACAGCGCACGTCTGAAAGAGTTCTAGGGATTCTTGGATATTTCCTTCCAGGCGAAATATTAATGCTGCCAAGGATAGAAAACACAGAAAAAACTCATCACATTCTAGGAAGAACAGAGTCTGGTATCAGAAAAACTGAAGAAGGAGGAGTAAGAAATCATACCAAAGAAATCTTTTGGATAATTGTATCTTTAATACAATCAGCTCAGACCTCAGGTAGGCTGAAACAAGCAGCAGAGTTGCTGACAATCTAAAACTTTTTAAAATAAGGTATCTCAGGGGTGCCTGGGTGGCTCAGTCAGTTGAGCGGCCAACTTCGGCTCAGGTCATGATCTCGCAGTCTGTGAGTTCGAGCCCCGCATTGGACTCTGTGCTGACAGCTCAGAGCCTGGAGCCTGTTTCAGATTCTGTGTCTCCCTCTCTCTGACCCTCCCCCATTCATGCTCTGTCTCTCTCTGTCTCAAAAAATAAATAAACATTAAAAAAAAATTTTTTTTTTTAAAGTAAAAAAAAAAAAAATAAGGTATCTCAAACCTACCTGCCCCTCTACCCAGTACCCACCATGCAGATAGGTGCCTTGAAAGTTATCCCACAAATTCTTCATAATAAGAACATTCCTGGTCTTCCCTGTCAAACACTCTATTTATCATAATTCAGACTTCCATCCAGTAGTTTCCAGAGTACACCCAAACAGGACAAGTGAAATCAAAAAGATTCTGGCCAAGAATGCACTAATATTTCAGACTTGATTTTCAGTAACGCAACCTATTGGAATCAGTAATTTTTCCCAGGCCTGAGTTTTCAGAAGAATTTTCATGTTTAAGTATTATGAGGCACTGCGAGTCTGGCACCTGTAATACTGGGAATAAAAGAGCACTTTTCTTGCCATGATGTCCTAGATGTGTCAAGTATCCTGCAAATGTCATAAAATTACATATTAATCTGAAGACTACCAATCCACTGAGTGGTAAACAAAACTGTTCATTTATACCAAAGAGTCAGTGGTTCCTGTATTTGGTTTCTGATGAATTTCATCTACTTTCCACCTCATCCTGTATACCTCTAGGCTTCTTCTCTTCATCCTAACGCCCTCATAAAAAATCCTCAAGGCTTCCGTCATCTTCTCTAGCCTGACTACAAAGGACAGTTCCAAAAGCCCTTCTGGGCTTGAAGCTGCTGCCTGAGGCAGGGACCCTAACATCCATTCTGAAAACATCAGCCAGACACTGGAAAAGGGGGAAAGAACGGCAGCAAATTTTTTCTAACAGAACTAGTCATTTCTGAGGTCAAATCCAGCATAAGAATTATGTTCTGATTTCAAAAAACATAATACTGAATAAGATCTTTGTAGAACATTTGAATTTAAAGTGTTTCATAAGTTGTTTGCTCTTCTTTTGAAACCCAGGCCAAGAATGCATTTCTGTAGCAAGAAGAGAACTATGTCTTACCTTGGACATAGATAGCATATTCACATAACCCCTGAGTCTCCTGAAGCTGCTCTTTGATAACAGCCTGAAAGAGGAAGAAAAATACTTGTAAGTCATAGTTAGGTGTCCTGAAGTGGATTTTTTGTTTTAATTTTTTTTTAATGTTTATTTATTTTTGAGAGAGAAAGAGTGCAAGTTGGGGACGGGCAGAGAGAGAGGGAGACACAGAATGAATCCAAAGCAGGCTCCAGGCTCTGAGCTAATAGCACAGAGCCTGACGCGGGGCTCAAACCCACAAACTGTGAGATCATGACCTGAGCTGAAGTCAGACGCTTAACCAACTGAGCCACCCAGGCGCCCCAGTGTCCTAAAGTGTTTTAAAGAAAAGTAGAGGTGGACAAGGAGCATATATAAGAAATCTAGTATATAAATAATTACTAATAATGTTCACTTGGAATTTTTTTAAATCTCAACTCTTTTATGGTTACTTACTATAGAACAGGGGTCAGCAAACTATGGCCCATAGGCCAAATCTGAGCCAAACGGGCTATTTTTGTACAGCTCTCAAGCTAAGAGTATTTTCCTATTTTAAAGGGTTATAAAAAAAAAGAGAGAGAGAGAGAGAGAGAGAAGATGAAGAATATGAAAGAGACTGTGGCCGACAAAGTCCAAAATATTTACTATCTGGCCCCTACAGAAAAAGTCTGTCAACCCCTGTCTAGAATCTTACTAGGCAAGCTAAGGGGAATAGGAAGATTTTCAGGCACCATTATAGATGCTAGGGGCTCTCTGATGAGCAAAACACAGGTTCTTCCTTGTCCCGTGACAGGCTAAGCTTGGGATGCTATAGGAGCACCTGAGTCTAACTTAGAGAATCAAAGAAGGCTTTCTGGAGTAAACAGTTTCAAATCCTGTGTTGGCAGCGGGTGGAGGAGAAGCCGAGATGACTGAGAGAGTCCGAGAGAGAAGGGCCTCAAACGCCAGGCTAAAAATGTTGAGAGCAATGGGAGAATCTTGGTAAGTTTTAAACAGGAGGTAACCTGATTCAATTTGCTCTATAGAGAAGTCATTTTGGAAGCACTGATGAAAACAGATGGAAAGGAGGCAAGATCGGTATAAGAATTCCTGTGATAATTTAAACAAAAATTATGGGAATTAACTAAGGCATGGAGAGGGAATGAAGTGGACAATTTCAAGAGATAGTAAACAAGGATCACCAAAACTTAATGATTATCTATATTATATTAGGAAAAATGGGTCAGGGGAGCCTGACAGACAGATGAGTGAATGATGGTACCTAGCCCCGAGACAGGGTACAAGAGAAGGAATAGGTTTGGAGGAAAGCAGATAAACTCAGCTACAGAAGAGCTGAATTTGAAATACTTGTGAAGCATTAGTAGGTATCAGATTAGTTTGAAGATCAGGAAGAGGTGTGTGAAATGAGCTGAGAAAGGGGCCAAGGATAGGACCTAGGAACATCTCCAATGCTTAAGAAATAAACAAGGAAGAGATGCCAAAAACAGGAAACAGAGAAAGTTGTCAAAAAAGGAAAAGGGGGAGTGCCTAGGTAGCTCAGTGGATTAAGCATCTGACTCTTGATTTCAGCTCAGGTCAGGATCTCACAGTTCATGAGATTGAGCCCCAGGTCAGGCTCTGCACTGTAATCTACAAGGGATTGTCTCTCCCTCTCTCTCTCTCCCCCTCCTCTCCTGTCTCTCTCAAAATGGTCTCTCCTCTCTCTCTCAAAATAAATAAATAAACTTAAAAAAAAAAACAACAGGAAAAGGGAAAAAAGAAAAGGATAGTAGTATCACAAAAGGAAAGAAAGAACCCTTTTAAGATTCATACTGGTACTAACCATTTCTAGTTCTGTACATTGCCATAGGTACAAATGCCATGGGTAAAACTTTAAAACTATAACCTTAGAAACATGACAAAGTTCCAAATGCCATAAGACAGTTTCAAGGATATATTTTGCATGTTACTACTATTGTCTGCCAGCAAGTATATAACATGTATAGTATGTTTCCAAAGATATAGTTTAGAGAAAAAGGAAATACAAATCGTTTTTAAATATACAAATGATGATCAAGTTCATCAAAATAAGAGAATTATAAAACTCAATGAAATACCATTTTTCACCTATCCAGAGATGAGAAAGTTAAATACTACGCTGTGTTGAACACTGGCCATTCACCATGAGACCAACAAGTCCCAGAGAGCGGCTGCTCCTTTACCCTGGTCTTGAAATGAGAAGACACATGGAGCACACGTGAATCTGACCCCCAGCCTGTAGTCAGGCCCAACCAACCCACAGCCAATCTGGAGGCCCATGAGCAATAATTAAATGTCTGCTGTTAGAAGCCACTGAAATTTTGAGGTTGTTAACAGCATTATCCTAGCAAAAGCTAACCAATATACACAGTGTGGGGAAACAGGAATTCATACATTATTAGTGGGATTTAAGAGCCACAATTGTTAGCTATCTAACCAAAGCCTGCCTCTCATGGTCTCTGTCATTACAATCTCTCACCTTGCATGCTTCATAATCCTTCCGTATATAGTGAAGATGTATCAACCAGTTCTGCTTCTCCAAAATAGGAAACTCTTGAGCTGGTGAGCATATTTTGACAAAACAAACATAATAGCCATTGTTAGATTTTCTCCTTTAGCATCGTGCTCACATTTAACCATAAGCCTATGGCGGTATTGCATTAAATTCTTCATGCTGTTGACCACAAGAATGTACAGGTTTTTAAACTAATAGATATTTGTCCTACTATTACACATTGAATATAGGCTTCTCAGTTTTTTGTGGCTCATACTGTCAGTTTCTCAAATGGTAACTTGGCCTGAAAAAAATAAAATAATTCTTTTGTTACTTCTCTCTCTCTCCCTGGTTACTGAAGGTGAATACGAAGAATTTCTAAGAAATATTTCAGGAACGTTACCAACAAAAAAATACGTAACACAGTTAACATCCCATCTGATAGATCAGAGGACCAAAAAGAGTTAAATATGGTCCTAGCAATAACAAGGTAAAACATTATACTGTTGTCCAGGAATGAGAAGGCAACAATGACCAAAAAAATCTATTTGAGCCACTGAAAATGATTCATGATAAACCATAAAATGAGTTACTATCCTTCGAATTCAAAGGATTAAAAATATGGGTAAAAATTCGTTAAGAAATTATTTTTCTATTGGGGCGCCTGGGTGGCGCAGTCGGTTAAGCATCCGACTTCAGCCAGGTCACGATCTCGCGGTCCGGGAGTTCGAGCCCCGCATCAGGCTCTGGGCTGATGGCTCAGAGCCTGGAGCCTGTTTCCGATTCTGTGTCTCCCTCTCTCTGCCCCTCCCCCGTTCATGCTCTGTCTCTCTCTGTCCCAAAAATAAATAAACGTTGAAAAAAGAAATTTTTTTTTAAATAAATAAAAATAAAAAAAAAAAGAAATTATTTTTCTATGAAAGAAAGAGAAGGGTTCACACCAACCTCAGAATAGTTGTGAGGAACGGGGTGGGAGGAAAGTTAAAAAGGAGGGACTTCAGCTCATTAATGCTTTCATTTCTCAAAAAAGAATAAAAATCTCTAAAGTATACATAACTACATTTTTTTAATTTGTTAAATCTGGCCAGTGAGTACACAGATGCTTGTATTTTTTAATGCACTTTAATATATATTTGAGATATTCCCTTTTAAAAACATAAAAGAAAGGGAATAGCAGGAAACAAGATGGAAATGATTTCTAATTATTTGTAATCATTCTGTTCCAGAATCTTAGGAGATACATCAAGGCAAAAGCTAACACTTATAGGTCCATAATATAACAGGAAGGAAAAGAAGTTTCCTGTGACCCCGAGTTAATGGTGTCAGAACACAATAACAAAGTATTGCTGCTTAGTCCTTCCCAAGAACAGGGATTGTCAATGGAATTTACAAGGTAAAATTGTGACAGAAAGAATGGGTATAGTTTCATATGCCAAAAGGAAAAGAAGGTAAAGTGTTCAACAGCACTATACTCTTCACCTTCCAAAAACCCACACTCTGAGTGGGACTGCCCTTCTTCCTAGTTGAGATTCTCTGATGACTTCTGTTTCCTTCCTTCTTTCCTTAAGCTCCCTCAACTGTCAGATCTTAGCCTTTCATGTTCTGCCTAACCACTTCCAGAATTAAATTTCCTACAAAAGGCCATACTGATCACCAAGTTTAGAGATGGGTGTGGGTGCTCGTGCACACATGTCAAGTGGGTAAAGAAATACACCATGATGAATAGTTCTGGGGCAAGCGGATTACTGAGTAATCTTGGGCCAAGTCTCATTTGTATGGCCTATTCCTCTGTCACATGCCCCCTGAAGGGAAAGAGTGAAAGGAGACACTGAACCCTTTGAGTTTAAAATATGACTAAGTATCATTGCTTCTACAGCTTCAGGCTATAGACAAAATTCATAAAATGTAAATCAGAGTTTTGCTATTTTTAAAATTTCACAATAAAAGATGAGTAATTTTTTGTTTTTCCTGGATAAAGAACGGAGGAAAAAAATATTCAATCTGTAAGATAATTTAAGAGCCCAGAGGCCCATGAAATGCAAACCTAGGGATTAAAAGAAGGGAAGCCATCGCCAAATCTGGCTTAAAGGTCATTTCACACTCCTGGAGATATAATTTGTCTAAAAGCTAAGAGAATTCTAGCTTCATCAAAGACTGGAATTTCACTGTCCTATTTCTAACTGTGTGATCTTGGGAAATATAGTTTCCTCATCTATAAAATAGAGACTCATTCATTCATTCATTCAACAAATATTCCCTGAGCACCTACCATGTGCCAGGTCCTATTCTAGGCATTGACAATACAAAAGTGAACCAAACTGACCTCCTGCCTTAAATCAGTGGGGACAGGATTGGGGGTAAGTCAGAGAGTGCTAACAGAAGGGGCAGATGATAATAAAGTGAGTTTTATAGGAGTGATATTTTTCTACAAAAGCAGAGAAGGACAAGGAGTACAGGTAAGGGGTTACACATTTAAATAGGAAGGTCAAGGAATAAAATATCCTCACAGAGTTGTGAGGACTGAATAACAATATATATAAAGAGGTTCAAATTCTGGCATACAGTTAAGCTCTACACAAGTGTTAGCTGTCGCTGCTATTATTTTTATTATCTGCACTATTATTTATTTTCTAAGATGAGGGAATTCTGGATGCCTTAGAAATCCCTAGAGTCTGTAAGTCTTGAGTCTATGTTAGAATTTTACCTGTAAATGTGTAAGTTGAATTTCTTGTATCCCAAATCATTGCTCACTCCAATTCCCGCTACAAACAGGGGTACTGGTTCTTACATGCTTTCACCAAGTATTATGACAACTACCTATGTGAAAGATCCTCTAAAAAAAAGATAGACATGTAAAGGCAAAGCACAGCCTCCTCTATTTTACAGCAGAGCAGGGCAGTCATCTCTGATGCTACACTTCAGGAGCCTCTATTATCACAGAGGTCAGGTGGCCGGCTGATGAGATGAAGACAAGGTAATGCCTTTCAGCCGCTGCACCTCATTCCTATCTCCAGTTCCCACCCTGCCCCTCCACCATCACTGAGGCAGTAGGGGTGGAAAGCTGGCAACCTGGCAACCATACTCCCTTGGCCCTTCTATTCTCCTGCCCCCATTCTACTCTTTTGTGACATCTCTCCTCTTTCTTTCCCCTCTAAGGATACACCAGACTTCTATCTTAAACAATTACACAACCAAATAAACATAACAGTACAAGAATTCTTCTCCCTTGTAATTTGTCCTAGGGGCCAAAGTCTCTTAGTAATGGCCCTGACTCAAATTTTTATCTTAAACTTTGATCAGTGCTAGGGAATAACATACCAGAAAAATGAAAGCTGAGCAGAAAATTATTGTGCCTTGAATTCTTAGCTGAAAAATCTTCTAAAATAACTAAGACTTTTAGAAGTACATTATAAATGAACCCTTCTTTGGTAAAGGATCTCTTCCCGGATAAGCAGACACATCACGCATGGTTTTTATATGTAGAATTCCCATCCTGATTCAATACCAGCCTTCTCTGGGACCTACAGCAAGTTATTTATCTTCTCTGGGCCTCCATTTTTCCCTCTATAGTTTTCACTGGAGAACTACGAAAAATCTGAAAGTGGCCATTCAATAAATGTTAATTTCTTCATGTTATAACAGGACTTCTAACACTTTACTATCTCAATTTGGGACATCAAAAGATACAACAAGTCTTCTCCTGAGGTAAAGAAAACAAAAGTAAAAAGAAACTACTGGGACTACATCCAAATAAAAAAGCTTCTGGACAGCAAAGGAAATTAACAAAACTAAAAGACAATCTACTGAAATGGAGACGATATTTGCAAATGATATATCCAATAAGGGGTTAGTATACAAAATACATAAAGAACTTATACAACTCAACACCAAAGAAATAATCCAATTTAAAAAATGGGCAAAAGACATGAACAGTCATTTCTCCAAGAAAGACATACATGTGGCCAACCAACACATGAAAAAATGTTAAACTTCACTCATCATCAGGGAGATGCAAATCAAAACCACAATGAGATATCACCTCACACCTGTCAGAATCAACAACACAAGAAACAACAAAACAAGTGCTGATGAGGATGTAGAGAAAATGGAACCCTCATGCACTGTTCATGGGAATAAAAACTGGTGCAGCCACTGTAGGAGACACTACGGAGGTTCCTCCAAAAATTAAAAATAGAACTACCATATGATTCAGTAACTGTACTACTGGGTATTTACCCAAAGAATACAAAAAAAGACTAATTTGAAGAGATATGCATCCCTATGTTTATGGCAGCATTATTTACAATAGCTAAGATATGGAAGCAGCCCAAGTGTCCATCAATGGATAAAGAAGATGTGGTACATATATGCAATGAAATATTACTCAGCCATAAAAAAGATGAAATTTTACCATTTGTAACAACATGGATGGATATAGAAAGTATAATGCTAAGTGAAATAAGTCAGTCAGAAAAAGACAAATACTATGATTTCACTCATATGTAGAATTTAAGAAACAAAACAAACAAAGGGAAAAAAAGAGAAACCAAAAAACAAACTCTTAACAGAGAGCAAATGGATAGACCAAAGGGGAGGGGGTGGGGGAATAGGGAAATAGGTAAAGAGTATTAAGAGTACATTTATCTTGGGATGCCTGAGTGACCTAGCTGGTTAAGCATCTGACTCCTGATTTTGGCTCAGGTTATGATCTTTTGTGAAACAGAGCCCCACATCAGGCTCTGAGCCCACTTGGGATTCTCTCTCTCCCTCTCTCTGACCCTCCCTGCTGACACTAACGCTCTCTCTCTAAATAAATACTTTTAATTTTTGAAATGTCTATTTTTGAGAGCCAGGCAGTGAGAGTGGGGGAGGGGCAGAGAGAAAATGGAACAGAGGATCCAAAGCAGGCTCCACGCTGACAGCAGAGAGCCCAATGCCAGGCTCAAACCCACAAACTGCAAGATCATGACCTGAGCCAAAGTCAGACACAAGCGACTGAGCCACCCTGGTACACCAAGAGTACACTTGTTTTGTTGAGCACTGAGTAATATATGGAATTGTCCAATCGCTATATTGTACACCTGAAATTAACATTAACACTGTACACGTACACTGGAATTAAAAGAAAAGAAAGATGACACATCTTGAAACAAATGTAAATGTAAGATATTTTTTTTACTTGAGCTCTGTGATTATCTGTCAGGGTCTAACAAGGGACCATAAAAACCACTTGAGAATTTACAACAGAGGGACTTCAATGCAGTGAACAGGTTAAGGGGCACCTGGGTGGATCAGTCAGTTAAGCATCCGACTTCAGCTCAGGTCATGATTTTGCGGTCCATGAGTTCAAGCCCCATGTAAGGCTCTACGCGATCATCATAGCTCAGAGCCTGGAGCCTGCTTCAGATTCTGTGTCTCCCTCTCTCTCTGCCCCTACCCCATGCTCACTCAGGCTCTCTCTCTCTCTCTCTCTCTCAAAAAATACAGAAACATTAAAATACAAATAAAAAAAATTAAAAATAAAACAAGCAAAAACCTTAATATTTCTTTCACAAAAGAAATGACAAGTATATGAAAAAGCGTTCAGCTCACTTAGTCATAAGGACAATGCAAATTAAAGTCATAATAAGATACTACAACATATCTACCAGCATGTCTAATATGAAAAAGACTGAGAGTAACAAATGTTAGTAAAAATTCAGGGCAATCAGAAATCTCAATTGCTGGTGGGACAGTACAATTACACAACCACTTTGGCAGTCTCTCATAAAATTAA